TTTTTTTAAGAATGTACATTATTTTTCCATTTTTTTTTAAATATCGGTTTGAAGCATTTGAATAGTAGTATAACGTGATGCTTTACCTCAGTTTGTTTACACTTGCGACATTCGCCCTTATTCCAGCTCTATCTAGAATTCAGGTATAAACCAACTGTCACGAGAAGGCTGTACTATTTGAAGCCTGATTCTAACTAAGAATTTCAGAAGAGACGTGAGTGTCGCTAGTATCCAATCTACGAAGTATATCATAACAACGCTAACGCTAGTCGGTCGTAGATTGTGGTAATGTAAGGGGCACGGCGGCTATTAGACTGATGCAAAATTTGAAATTTTCGCTCTACAGTGCTCAAACGGTTCCAAATTGGGCCCTGATTAGCCTTCCAAAACTTGAACTCATTTAGTGAGAAACTGACTTGGCACAAACCATTTGAAGTTTATATGGAAATTACTATGGGAAAACAAAACTTTTTGGAGTTGGTTGGAAATGCTAACATTAAGCTTTAGTGTGATGATTTATTAGCAAGAGAATGATCTTTACAAGAGGGTAGGTGGATAGTTCCGAATAGAAATTGAAAATGAGCGAAGGGCCATTAATGCGACAGTTTTTTGAAGATAGACGCACATCTTTTGCCTAACCCGTACGATGTACGCGGAGACTTGAAGTATGTCTCCAAGTCTACTTTTTGTTCATTGTCTTCTAGCCTTTTTACGTATTGTACTTTCAACCAATTTTATTGTTATTCTTATGGGACTTTTTATCAGCTACAACTTCGCAGACAATCGTTTTTTCAGCCAAACGTCAAATTAAAGAGTTATTAATTGTTTAAGAGATTAATAATCTTATGGCAAGATTAAGCAACTGTATTATGGGCAACACTGTATTCTGCAGTGTCACATAGTAGCCATGATTTTTGTCCTCTATTCTACGCGCCATAAACACCAATGTTGCCTGCTGAACAGTTGATTGAGCATAATCATAAGACATGAGGGACTTGAATCATTAATAACTTTTGTTCCTTATATTTGATCGAAAAGTGGTCTTTAACAAAGTTGTAGCTGAGAAAATTTTCAATAAGCTCAGCTATCATTTTCTAAAGTATAGTGAACTGGTGAATTTTGAGATAGATATGAACCGAAATTATGGTTTCTTCAAAGTAATTCCCATATAAACATCAAATAGTTTGTGCCAAGTCAGTTTCTCACTAAATGTGTTCAAATTTCGGGAGGCTAATCAGGGCCCAATTTGGAACCGTTTGAGCACTGTGGAGCGAAAATTTCAAATTTTGCATCAGTCTAGTGGCTATTGAGTAACTGTTTTTGCTTAATAAGTAGAAGATCATGGGTTAAAACCCAAGCCTCATTACAATACTAAGTTAATCAGGGCTATTCTGCGCGGCGTTTGAGGTGAAGTGACAGTGAAGTGATGATGAAGTGACAATTGTCACCTCGGGTGAGGTGACTCTCCATTTGATTTGCACGGAGAGTCACCTCACCCGAGGTGACAATTGTCACTTCACAAGTGAGAGCGTGTCACCTCACCTCACACGCCGCGGAGAATAGGCCTGAATATATCCAGGCCTCTATTGTAGGAAATCGTTAATAAGAAAAATTGAAGGAACGATTCAGAAAAGTAATAAGTATATTTAGAAAAAATGTGACGTACGCCTGAATCGGTGCGGAAGACATTGTTAACTACTTTGGATGATTTCATTTTATTGTAATAGCTTCTTGTAACCGATAATGAACGATCGTCGGTCGTAGCTTGTTGTGATGTAAGGGGCACGGTGGTTTTAGAGCGACCGTTTTTGCTTACTGAGCAGAAGATCGTGGGTTAAAACCCAAGCCTCTTCACATTACTGAATTGATAGGGTCGCGTCATTTGCTTAACTGGTTTTAAAAGATCGCATAATTTACCCTTCCCACTAACAAAAACGTTCTTCCCGATGACCGTAAGGACGTGGCCGGTGCCGTTATTGACCTCCAAAATATGGATTCTCCGGATTTTGTACACTGAGAATGCATTGCTAGCAGTGCTGCGATTTATCATTTTCATTGAGAAAACTTCAGTGGATATAGACAAAATTCATTTCAGCAGCAACACTGATAGAACTGAAAATCAAAATTTCCTTTGTCAAAATCTTTCTTTGTCAGTGACAAAGATTCCCTTGGTGAAAAAACTGTGAATTTGCGCATTCTGTGTCACATTATTGTTCTCCAGGCTGATAATGATGATGATTCGTATTCACTTTGATGGTTCTATGTAACTGTTTTGCTAAATTAATTTGATTTCGATAGTAATTCATCAAATGAAAAAACTGCACATCGTCGTCACTGATAGTAATATCACTGACAATTGATATTGATTGCTACTGATGGTGACTCTCTGCTGAAATGAGTGACCAGGGTTGTTTTGTTATTATCAGTTTTTAGTGTCGAAATTTTGCAGCACTGATTGCTAGTCCCAAGCCCCATTGATATGGTTCTTTGTACAATTTTCGCTAAATCTGGTCAATCACGGAGTAGCAACTACTGAAATACAATGCTCATGCTCATAAAAGTATAAATCGTCAATCAAGTCAGGTTTATTATAACCCTAGTAACGTCAATTCATCCTATACATAGTCGAGAAACTTCCATCACGCTTTGACTAAGGCTCTGAACCATTTGGTGGATTATTTTAACTTTTTGTTAAAATTTGACAGATGGAAAGTTATCGATTAACCCTGCTATCCGAGCGTGGTTACTTCTGACAGACAAGGAGTTAAATTTTGACAACTGTGGCTGAGTTCTTCTCGAAAACCGGTCGATCTACAGCACAGGGATTTTCGAACATAGAAAATAACTTTCGAAATGTCACTTTTAACTCGGCAAATGGTTCACAGCCTAAGAGGAAACCGACAGAATTTAAATCACTTTTCTCTGACGACACTGTCTCTGTGATACCAGAAGAATTTGACATTTTGTGTAAAACGCTGTATTTTTACATAAGGATGCCATGCATTTCAATAGAATTTTTGAAATAAATAAAAATAATGAGTATAGATACGATCAAAAAAGTATTCGTTTTACCGTGACGCTGAAGCAGACGACAGTCGCTCAAATTAAAGGTCACTAAACACAAAATTGCGGGTTGCCAAACCTTACAGACAAAATGACTTAGTTGGGGCCGTGCAACCAGATTTACTTGTATTCTCTCCGCGCGTCTCTTATACAACATCGTCTCTGTAAAAAAGACACACATGTAAACATCTCCTCCAAATTTGGTCCAAAGCGAAAGCACCCATATACGGTACATTCTCCATAACTTCGATGGTCCTTTGTTGGATGCAATTCCGCTCTCAATGCACTGTTTCTATTTCTCACCAGCACGAACCGGACCGTCAAGAGCGGTAGACCGACCGGACGCGCAGACAACAACGGCGGCAAGTAGCCCAGCAAAAAAAAAAAAGAAGCAATAAAACGATTCACTCGAGTACGGTGGGGTGGTTTCGATTTCGTTGCAACGTAGGGAAAGTCAATTTACATTTCTCAGCATACGTATAGGTACTCAACGCATCATGCACAAATCGGCAGTGGCGCGACCTGTTGAATTCTCAGGCTTTTTTGGGGTTTCCTTCCACCTTCCACGATCAATTGGAATCGGAACACACTCACTCGCCACTCTAAACCACCGCACCGCACTCACCGCACAAAACAACCGGAGAAGAAGAGGGTGTAGGTAATGGATCGATCGTTTGGGAACAATTGATTCGATCGGAATGCATCTCAGATCACCATCATGTGAGTGTGAAACCCTTCGACGAATGTGCGATTTTGGTTGGCAGTGAAATGTTATGGTGGGAAACGAAACCGCTTGAGTTTACTGAAGCGTGCACACTATTAATTAGGCTTATTAAATAAACGCCGGGCGGTTTCATGGATGCATAAAAAAAAATGATCCTAACATTGTGGCTTTGGAGAAAACGCTAGAAACCACTTCAATTGGGCATCATCTTAATGGCCATTTAGTTGGTCATTGACCCCTTGGTGCAAAATCACTCAAAAGGTGTTGCGAATGAAAATTTAAAAGTTAAATTACATAGGAACAGTCTTGGATACTGTTCTGTTGCATTCTAGAATCTCTAGTTCTACATTTATCGATCAGATCCTGTTTATATAACTCATGCAATTTGCTTGGTAATTCATATAAATACGACACACCTTGCACGTAACGTGACGTTCAAATTGATTTTCGTAATTTCCCGTAGCCCTTACGCCACTTTTGCCTAGCACCATGAGATCAGCAATCTGCCGTTCGGTCAAGCACCCAATCCGCCACTTTTACGTAAACTGGTTTCGGCTAGCTAATGCCCCAGCCTGTATCCTACATATGCATGATCATCATTTTAAGCGAGTAAATATTTATGACTCTTCGAGAAAGACGCAAGTGTGGACTCTCATCTCCAAAGAAACACGTAGACTCTCATAACAACAAAGTTTTTTTTTCTCAATGGTGTGCCGTGTGGTGGCACCTGTTTGCTGTTTCACCGTCTACTGATAATCTAGCCTATAGCAATACTTAGCAACGCATCAACCGAAAATGCGATTTTCCCACGCGAGCGTCTATTGTTGATCGAAATCAAAAGTGTTTTTCCCCTTCGTGGGCCCTTATGAAGCTTCATTACCGGGTAGTTTGCGGTTCTCCCGCTTAGTTAGTTGAATAGGAGTTTAATTGTACACGTTTCAGGAATGCACGTTGGTGTCACCTCTACCGAAATGACGAGAAATTAAAAATTTCCCACTCGTCGCCGACGTCGTCGTTTGGTAGTTATACATTTTTGTTGTTGCCTGAACGACGATCGTGCCCGATAACACAGCAAGCATTCGAAAGCATCGAGTTAATAAACACGTCCAGTTTATCCAAAAAATTTGCATATTTCTTCTTCGAAATTCATTTCGTATTAATATTTCTTATATGTTGGTTGGTTGGTAGGTGGTAGAAGCATAATCTTTCTTACATTCTCCTCTGCTGTTTGTGGCACTATACGGGTTTTGGGTTGTTGGCAATAACTTGGATTGATTCTTCTTCGTCGTTCTTCTTGTTCTTCTGGATTCAAGGCACTCCGCTTCGACTCTTCTTCGTCGTCGTCGTCGGTTCGTCGCCAATCTCCGCTATAGCAAATCCGCGCACACCGTTCGGTTTGGATATTGTTGTTGGTTTTTGGTATGCGGACGATGATGATGATGATGATGAAGGCTTGTTTTTCTTTCTCCTCTTCGCCACTCTTTTTTTTGGCTAAAATCTGCTCCACACTCGCTCACTACAAACATACACTGATCACTGACTCACTTCCCCCCGCGGTTTGCTATAGGGTACCAACAACAGACACAGACACAGCGAGAGCTGAAATAACCACGTCCACCACGCCCCAGCACTCCCCTTGGCGTTTGCGTTTACTCTACAGCAGCGGGCAACAACTGCATCAGCAGCAGCTACGACGGCGACGATGGAACCACTTCGCCATTTTTCGACAATTCAAATTCCACGACGACAATTGGCGTTCAGAATGGGCGCAATATCACCATCAACACATGATGCACTTCACCGGAATGCACTAGCGAACGACTCACGACACCCCGGAAAATAAGCAATAGATGTACCGACCGACAATAATTAAAACTATCAGGTAACAACACTCTCGACTATATCGGGGGGACTATTTGCGCAAATGGAATACTGATGTGAAGGAATTTAAAACGACGTCGTAAAAGTGTGAGCTTCTCTCCCGTGGCAGTGGCCAACACAAAATGACAGGTAGAGAGGTTTACCTATAGCTCGCAAGCAGCTCGTCGGTCGGTCTCGAACGCGGCGATCTCTCACCTCACTGCATATCTCGTGTGTGTAGTTGCTTTGCTACATATCGTAAAACATGACTCAGAGAAAGAGCGAATCCGATGCTGCTTATTTTTACATTGTGAGTGTATGGGAGCGTAACATGAACAGGTTTTTCATTACGCTTTCAAACTTGTTTCAACGATGATGGAACTCACTTTCGTCCACCGAGGGATAGGATGCTAGCAGCTACGAGCACACATGCCTCTCAATGCTTCACAGAATGTTTGATTAGCGTAAGGTGCTATCGTATCTTCTAGACACATGTCCCGATGAGTTCAACGAACACACGTTTATTCGGGAAAATCGTTGTCAAATAAAATTTACATTTGGTCTGACGGAGATCGTGGTGAGCTTCATCCAAGATACAAACTAAAAAGGTTGCCACTTTAATAAAAACCTGAATGTATCCACCTATGATGAGATCTGACCCTTCTTACACTCAATATAACCAGCAATGATCTTATTTTTGAATCCTCATGTGATTTGATGTGCCGCATGATGGGTCGTAGTGCATGCCAGATTCTGGTCATCTCCTCGTATACACAGCAAAAAAAATGTAATATCGATCAACGTAATTCAAGCTGATGTATGAAATAATGATGTAAAAGCAAAAAGCAGATACAATATTACATCAATGGCTGTAATTTTGTTCGCAAAATCGATGTACATCGTACAATGTGATATTACACAACCGATGGATTGACCTGGTTGCAGCAGTTTCGATGTAATATTCAACAACTTTTTTTGCTGTGTAGTTTGAGGTCATATCTCCAGTTGACCGATTCCATAAATATTAAAGAACGTACGTTTTTTTTATATATCTTTATTAAGGAGACTTTCAGCCCTGGGTTGCACAGTGGTGCAAAAGGTCAAATGCACGAACTTTTTTCATTAGTACCTTTCACAGTTTTAGTTCGGAACTTCACCACAGGTGGCACTGCAGAATCTAAATTTTTAGTTTGACCAGATTGTGATATGAAGACTTCAGCGTAGAAGACGTCATGTCTCTATCTGCTTGCGATTTTGAGTTATGAAGCGTTTTTTTTATAGAAGGGCCTCACAATTCCCTTTTTTGTAAATAGGGTAAATGTTGGCTTCGGCACCCATTGACTGTTTTCGGCAACCAAAATTTAAACGTTAATTTCACTATGTTTTCCCATCAACGCACTTCCCTGAATGTGTCCAAACGATTGTTTAGCCTTTCAGCTTCAATCTGATTATATTTGAACGATCGAGCAATCCAGTAACGCTACATTTATCTTCAAATAAAGCATACGCACTACAAAATGGGGTTGATTTCGAGTTGCCGATAATAGAACAGCTGGTTAACACGCAGTTCTAATGGGAAGGTTGCCGAAGAAAAAGAGGCTGCCGACAATAGTCACACTCACCTGAGAAGTTTGGAGCCTTGTAAAAACGCTTTCAAAACGTTTTGAAAAATTATGTCGATTGGAATGGATAGAGAAGCAAGCAGCAGATGAATGTAAACAAACAGACACATCATATATGTGCGTGACGCTGAGAAAATGCTAGTAGAAGTGCAGACGCTGCTTAGATTGACGAGAATACGTAAATTCCCCTATTTCCGAAATTATTTGTTTTAGATGACTATAATGCTCAGCAACTTTTTAATAATCAATAAAATACACAACGTTATAGGTAATATCAGCCCAAAAATAGTCAAATTTCAAGCATCCACAAACTTCAAAGAGGCAAAAAGGGGCAAACGACTCATCAATATGATGAAACTACACAGCAAAAAAATAATATTGATATCACGTCAAAGTGGATGCACTACAATCATGTCGAAAATATGGTGTAATATTACTTGCTAAAAAGGATAAAATTATCATTAATACAATGCATGAACTGACATTACGCTGCTTTTACTGCATTTGTTTATTTATGTGGTCATAAAAATTACATGAAATTTTCGACATGATTGTAGTGCATCCACTTTGATGTGATATCAAAATTATTTTTTTGCTGTGTAAAGAGCCTAAATTTATGAAGAGGCGATATGTCAAAATTGGAACAATCAATTGTCCATCAAAGTCATAGGAAAAGTCATTCCAATCGAGCAGAAGACCTGTCAAATGGATAAGATGTCGTCTCTTTATAAATTCAGGCTCTTTAGATGAAACTATAGTGAAAATACTATCATTTCATCTAGTAGTCATTTGTATCCCGCTGTATCCATGTGAGCTGGCCAATGTTTTATTAACAGCATTTTAACCACCCACCATGTTTTGTTTGTTAGTTTTTGACATGCCAAAGCAACCCATAATTACCAGTTTTTAACTGTCATTGAGCGTTATGGTACAAAACGTCGTTGCATTTGCGTTCATCAGAGTAAAAATTCGTTTGCAAATAACATTCTGAAAATTGTGATAATATGTCCAACGCATCGCTTCTACTATGTTGTCGGCCTTAGGCCGCGGCCAGGGTAGACGCGATTTGCGATGCGACGCGACCAATTCAAAAGAATCGTATTATTTATTATTGTTTCTTGCGTGAGTCGCGTCGCGTGTCGCGTCTACCCTGGCCGCGGCCTTACGTTCGTGGTGGAGAGTAGGCTGTGCGTTTAGACGAACATGACGTTTTTGTTTTCGAGTGGCTACTTTCTACCAGACTGGCACCACCAACGAGCTGGGAGCCGGCTTTGTATTGCTGGGTAAGATGCGTCAACGATTGCGTGGCAGCCGGTCAACGCGATGATGTGCGAGTTGAGGATTATAGTCCTCGGCGATATGAACGCTCAGGTAGGACGGGAGGAAATATACAGACTAGCAATCGGGCACAGAACAGAAGGGGAAGTGCAAACAAATCCGTGAATCAAAAAGTGGTTCGTTTTTTTGCTCAACAAGCGATGTGTTGTGGTAGCGTTCCACACGGGCTTTCTATGTACACTCACACTATCATAGCATGCTGCCTATCTTAACTGCAGGCAGAAGATGCCTTCTACCGCTAGGTGCGCTAGTGTTCGCAAATGACAAATGGAGCCACTTTCTGATCCGAAGTTCCACTCCTGTGATTCGGGCCAAACAGCCTGCATGCCGTATCGAACGACAACGGCCAACGATACGTGAACTTTGCAGCCTTTCGGTGTATGCCCAAGTAACAATTTCCAGTTGAAGAAACGCTTTCGTTTTGATTTTGTTCAGCTGCAAGTTGAATAATAATTGCACAATGTGTTAACCACAACTTTTATAAAACCCTTGTTTACACTGGTTTGGAGAACCTATACAACTGCAACACAAAGGTGTTGTCTAACGTATTCAGTAAAACGTTTATCCAAAATCAATTTCTTGTTGAAGAAACGCTTCCATTGTGATTTTATTCAACTGCATGCTGAATAATAACTGTACAATTTGTTTATTACAACTTCTGTAAAACTCTTGTTTACACTGGTTTGGAGAACCTGTTCAACTACAGCATTATATGTATACGCGGTATAGGAGTAGAAGCAACTTTTATACAACGTTTATAGATACATATTAAACTCAAGCTTTATTATTTTGGTGAAAGCTCTTATACAACGTTTGTAGACACTTCTTGACAGCTGCTTTGAAATTTAGTAGAGAGTAAACCTGAGAGGCGTCTGTTGCACTCTTTTATGACTCCTAAATAATCATTGTACAGCAAGCGGTGAAAAGCGTTTATAGCACTTTTCAATGACTCCTTAACAACCGGATAGAAGCAACTTTTATACAACGTTTATAGATACATATTTAAAGTCAAGCTTTATTGTTTTGGTGAAAGCTCTAATACAACGTTTGTAGACACCTCCTAACAGCTGCTTCGAAATGTATTAGAGATTGAACCTGAGAGGCGTTTGTTACACTCTTTTATGACTCCTAAATAATTACTATACAGCAAGCGGTGAAAAGCGTTTATAGCACTTTTTAATGACTCCTTAATAACCGTTGTGTAAGTACTCACAATATTCACAGATTAAAATTAGTTTAACAATTGTCGTGGTACGCCAAAATAATTGCTTGTACAGTTTTTATTATTTTAATTTATTTGTGCACATTAAAAAAATATGTAATTATGCCATAATTCACATTCTGTGATCATGGAGGAAGTAGTAACAAGCATCTGTTTAATCTTTGATTGATATTCTTTCAATTAATCTCTCTAATCATTAATTGAGAGAATTTATCTAGAAATGTTATCGTTGATTATATGATATATGTCTTAAATTAATGTTTGCATTTATTAATAACACCTATATATAATTTACCTCTACTCCACCAAAGGTTTCTCGAAGCAAGATTCGAACTCATGATCCCGGATTGCCAGCCACTTCTGTTTCCATCTGCTCTATTCTTGAATACATATTTTGATCATATGAGAGAAGTATATCAAGCTCATCTTGAGTAACTTCTCTTGCAGTCGAATAATCATTGCCTTATGGTTATATAAACATGCCTATCACTTGTGCTATTTTTAGCATCAAAATTGTGGTTGGTCGAACGTAAACAATCATTTAAGAGTGCTCCAAGCAGTTTTTGAAGCTTTTAACCAAATGGCAATACAACTACATTCTTGTACAACTCTGGAAGCAATTATTCAACGTTTGATCAACTCAGGTGTTGTATAAGAGATCCCAATGGTTTGTTTTGATGCGTTTATTCCACATCCTATATGGCTCCTGTCAAACAGTTTAAGGTTTGTTTTGATGCGTTTATTCCACATCCTATATGGCTCCTGTCAAACAGTTTAACCGAACGTAAACAATCATTTAAGAGTGCTCCAAGCAGTTTTTGAAGCTTTTAACCAAATGGTAATACAACTACATTCTTGTACAACTCTGGAAGCTATTATTCAACGTTTGATCTACTAGGTACTGCTATCCCGGACCGAAGAAATGACGGCGAATGCAAACTGTTAGTAGAGGAGAAGAATGCAGTACGGGCGAGGATGCTGCAACACCGCACGAGATTGAATGTGGGGCGATCCAGACAAAACTCGGTTTTCCGAAGGAAGAAGCGTCAGCAGGAAGACCAAGATCGCGAGACGATGGAAAATCCTCGGGAAAATCTGTACCGCGCAAACGATAGACGGAAGTTCTAAGAGAAGCTAAATAGTTCCCGCAAAGGCTACGTCCCGCAAGCCGATATGTGCAAGGACTTGGACGGTAACCTTGTCACGAACGAGTGTGAGGTGATTGAGAGGTGGAAGCAGTACTATCATAGAGGTAACTCTAAGACTAGAAGGTCCCGAAGAAACGTGCTCAACTTTTTGGCTCAGCTCTGGTACTCACTTCGGTCCCAAGCTAATAGATGCACCCCTCGAAGCATAGGAAAATCCACGAACCCCTCATTTTATCTGTCAAACTTTCATACACGGTTAGAAAAAAGTACCCAAAATTGAGTTCCTTTCACTCATCACGTGGCTTCCGTGGGGCTAGGTAAAATTAAGTTAAAGAAGAAAACTCAATTTTGAGTAATCACCAAGTTGACAAAAAAATAATAAAACGGAGCAGACTGGAACCGAACCATGGACGTTGAGATTACGGGGCCCGTGTGTGTTGACCACTCGTCTATCAACGCTTGTGAAAATGAAATGGTTAAAGGCGCATAAGAGCAACCTCAATGAAAATAAACTTATAATTGAGTTCATTTATGATTACTCAATAGTTGAGTAAATTTTAACCAACGCCGCTTTTCTGATTCACTCAACGGCGGACCTCAAATGATAGAACCCAACGTTGAGTTTTTTTTTAACTTAATTTTGAGTATTTTTTCTTACCGTGTAGCGAATCAAAACAACTTTCATAGCGAATCAAGTAGGGACCCAATTTAAATCGTCAGTTTCCACCGGTTGGTACTATGACGTGCACCTCAACGATAATGCAGCAAAAAACGGAGGTGGCACGGCAACAGACCTTGGAGCACGCGCAGAGGACTACAGGCTACCGGCCTCTGATCTTCAAGAAGTTGAGGAGATCGGTCGTCTGATGGACAACAAAGCAACTGCTGTGGATCAACTACCAAGTAAGCAATTAAAATACTAAGGTGAAGCTCTGGTTAGAGCGCTGCACTGGGTAATTACCAAGATTTGGGAAGAGGAGATACTATATTATCGGAGGAGTGGATGGAAGGTGTCGTATGCCCAATCTACAAAAATGACGACAAGTTGGATCGCTGCATCTACCGCGCGATCACACTGCTGAGCGCCACCGACATGGTACTCACCCAAATTCTATGCCGCCACCTGTCACCATTCGCAAGAGAGTTCGTGGGGCAATACCAGGCGGGATTCATGGATGTCCGCGCTACCTCGGACCAAATTTTCACGATTCGGCAGGTTCTGCAGAAATGCCGCGAATACAACGTGCCCACACATCATTTGTTCATCGATTTCAAATCCGCATACGACACAATCGATTGTGATCAGCTATGGCAGATTATGTACGAGTACAGATTTCCGGATAAACTGACGCGATTGGTCAAGGCGACGATGGATCGAGCGATGTGCATGGTTCGAGTATCGGGGACACTTTCGAGTCCCTTTGAATCTCTCAAAGGTGATGGACTTTCGTGTCTGCTATTCAACATCGCGTTAGAAGGTGTGATCAGAAGAGCTGGGATATACACGAATGGCACGATCTTCAGGATGTCCATCCAGCTTCTTGGCTTTGCCGATGACATCGACATCATGGCACGGAATTTTTAGACGATGGCGGAAACGTACATCAGACTGAAGGCTGAAGCTAGGCGGATTGGACTTGCCATCAACGCATTGAAGACGAAATACATGAGAGGAAGTGGTTCTAGGGAAGACAATGTTAGCCTCCAACCCCGAGTGCAGATTGACGGTGACGAAATCGAGCTGATAGATGAGTTTGTGTATTTGGGCTCACTCGAGGGCTCACTGGTGACCGCCGAAAATGATACCCTGCGCTTTGGTCAGAGAGCGTATAGGGCGTCGTTGTGCCAATTTGGTCGTGGCACATTTCGAGTATGAGAGAGTGATTGTAGTTAGATCAAAAGTACCTGAAAAAAATGCAAGCACTTTTGTGGATTACCCGGAGTTGCGATAGTGAAGGTATGATCACAGACAAGCAGACATAACATGCTTAAGATGTTCATCGAAATCGCTTTTAACGGTCAAATGTTTCTTAGTTGGTACTACAGCCACTTTTGGCGTGCATAATCAATTCCCTTACGTTTTACGTTTACACGTTACAGTCATCTGTTGAGTGTACACAACAGATGGCGGTAGTGTTTACAATGATAAATGTTCAATGTGTTGTGTCTATTTATATGTGATATAACATTGAGGTAATGTAAGGATACAATCAAAACATTGAGAAATATAACGCATCACTTTTAGGAATACTTCACTTCACAACCGATGAACCCTTCTGACGGCCATTAAAGTACCCAAGTAATCATGTAGTCGCAATATAGCTTGTATTTATTTTGTATTCATTCTCTTTTCGTACTTTTCATATAACACCATCTCATACTAAACGCTACATGGATTCAATTACTCATTCCGAGTGCTCGGTGAACCAGTGACTTTGGACGTGAGCCTCGTTCCAGATCACCATGGCAATACAGTAACAGATGGTGGACATGAGATCAACCAGCGAGGAAGAGTACATCGAAAAGGTACGGAAACTAGTGCAGATTTATCTCCATCGCAACACAAAAAAAACCTGGAAAAGGCGGAATCATGTCAGAACCGACCAAGGACGATCTACGGAAGGAAATTGCCAGTAAAGCACCGACAAACCGACATCAATGACCATAGCAACAACAATAACATTTCTGACCAAAGCACACTACTGACATGGTTCGTGACTCTCCAGACATTCTGAAATGGGTTGCTGGATCTGCCATATAGCTATCACCTTCTAACTCCCGGACTAAAGCTGTCTACAATGACCATGTATGCGGCATTGTAGAGAGAGTTCTTCCATAATAACACTGCCGGCAAGTGGGGGTTAGAAGGAATACACACACACACACACACACCCTCACTAACACAACTATTCTTCCCGTGGCAATTTTGAAAGATGCAGAGGTAAGCTCGGTTTCTAGTAACAACGATTGTCCAACGAACTTCCGCTCCCCAAAGACCGTGAGACGTGGCCGGCGTCGGTGTTGATCCTATAAATATAATGAATCAGTGAATTTGTACATTTGATGGAAATATTATCCCAAGCTCTATATACCTATGTGGTTCTCTGCGCAATTTAACTGGTTCTGATCAGTAACGTAGTAGCAAGTACGACGTTCACGGTATTTTTATAATAAAACAAATAAATACGTCGAGCTTGTTTTACATATCAGTGCTAACATTTGAAAACGGCACAAAAGCCATTTGTAAACAAATGGTTTGTGGGCCCTTTACTCACTACTTGAAGTATACCCAAGCGACACAACAGCAACATCGGGTAGGGGAAATTTTCCCCTTCCTGACGATGCTGTTGGTTTGCGTGGGCGTTCTTCGGGTAGCGAGTAAAGGGCCCACAAACCATTTGTTTACAAATGGCTTTTGCGCCGTTTTCAAATGTTAGCACTGATATTGTTACATAGGTTGGGGTATTGGGCAAATGTGACGTAACAGATTGACCAAAGTGAAAAAAAATGGTGTTACATAAATCCACGCGACTCTTGGATCTATAACATAACATGCGAGGGTCGAGTGAATTAGCATTACGTAATTTTAGGGGAAAAGCCTGTGTTACTTGTTCTTACATAGGAGAAAGTTCCAAAATGTGGATTTTTTGCGTTACGTAATTTGTGTGCAAATAAAAATCTAAAAAGGTCGAGCCTAATCGATTCGTCATTTGGTGTGAAACTGCTCAATTGGCGTTGACGGCGACTTTGTAGCTCTTTACTCAAATAGTAAAATCTAAAGTGCCTGAATTTATAAAGAGGCGACATCTTATCCATTTGACAGGTCTTCTGCTCGATTGGAATGACTTTTCCTATGACTTTGACAGACAATCGATTGTTCCAATTTTGACATGTCGTCTCTTTATAAATCCATATTAAATCCATAAGCAAACGTCAGACTGTCCGTGAAACATGGCGAACTTCGACTATCCTTTCGCTCCACCGAAAAATCCCATAAGAAACTGTCAATCTTTTCTAGAAGAGACAATTTTGTGACGGTGCCGTCAACGTCAATATCTTTCCATTTGTCTGCGTTAGATAACATGCAACACGAAATTCTATTAGGGAATAAAATGTATAACATTTGTCTAGCATAATTCAACAATCCCACTTACCCCCCAATGTACCTTACGCTGATATAGAATGTTGTTCACTGCAGTAAAAATCAAGAAGAGAACCCTCATGAACCCACAATGCGTGCATATATTCAAAGATAAAACAAAAGGCTCGCGAATTAGTGTTGGATATCATCAAAACTGCCCATAGTCGATCGCAATATCAGTCCAATCTTTGAGTGATTTTCAATTCATATGGATCAGTTATACGATTGTGGGTAGTAAAAGCATCTAAATTGAATTACCCTATAAAGCCAAGTGAACGCCACACTGTTATTCCCGAGTGATGATAAACCGTATCGATCGCCCCCAATTTGAGCGCATTCGAGTCAAGGTCAAAGCTGTGATCCGTAGCAACAACAGTAGTAGCGGTACCCACCGGGGTACGAACATGGGCCAAACGATCAGCGGGAGTGTCAAAACAGTCAACAACCGCGACCAACCATCGCCATTCATTCCGAAGATCGCCGTTCATTTCGAAGATCACGAACTGGAAGCGCACTATCAACGATCAGCACGTCTCAATTGTCTACTGGAGATGCCTCCGGTCACCCGGGAAACGCAGTTGGAATACTCCTGGAATTCGGATGACAGCTCGCCCTATGTATTCGTTAAGGAGGACGACAAGATGACGTTCCATAGGTACTCGGTGGCGCAGAGCACAGACTGCATACGAGGCAAAGTCGGCTTCACCAAGGGTCTGCACGTGTGGGAACTGCTCTGGTCGACACAACAGCGGGGTACACATGCTGTGATCGGTGTTGCCACCTCCGAGGCACCACTCCACTCCCAAGGTTATCAAAGTCTGGTTGGCTCGAACGACCAGAGCTGGGGTTGGGATCTGGGGCGCAATATGCTGTACCACAACTCGAAAATCTACCCCGGCATCACGTACCCTTCGATACTTAAGCCAGACGAAACCTTCTTAGTACCGGAAAAAATCCTAGTAGCTTTGGACATGGAAGAGGGAACTCTCAGTTTCATCGCCGACGGCCAGTATCTGGGGATGGCATTCGAGGGTCTGAAGGGTCGAAAGCTCTACCCGATCGTATCCGCCGTCTGGGCACACTGCGAAATCACCATGAAGTACATCGGTGGCCTCGATCGCGAACCTCTATCGCTGATGGACCTTTGTCGGTGTGTCATCCGCCAGAAGCTCGGCCGGACGCACCTCAAGAAGCGTGTCGAACAGCTCCAACTACCAAAGTCGGTAAAAACCTATCTGCTATAACGGGATCAAGCCAACTATTAATCATTTCATAATTATTATTGCTTGCTGTCATAACTATTGGATATAGATATTAATTTCCTCTTCATTCTCCGCCGCTATATGAACTGACCAAGAACAAAGATATTTAAAGAAAGAAAAGAACAAACCGATGTTAGGATTTAGGGTTAATGACTTAGGGGTCGTCCATTAATTATGTCACACTTTTAGGGGGGAGGGGGGGTTTTGGAAACTGTGACGAGTCATACAAAAAAAAATTAAATTCCATACAAAATATGTGACAAAGGGGGGAGGGGGGGTTGAAAATGGACTAAATTTGCGTGACATAATTAATGGACCTTCCCTTAATAGTGAAATAACATTTTTTCTTCATTTAAATAAAAAGGAAATGGTACTTCTTCCTGGTGTGTATCAGCAAACCAACTTCTTGTTTTTTCCACTATGTTATGGGGAAAATGTTCATGTTGCTGGTCCTTAGACTAGACTAGAGCATGTGCCAGGGTCGTGTAAGAGCGTCAAAGTAAGGAAGAAGAAAAATTGATTATTGTTAATTCCAATCTGATCAATCAACAACCTACTTTCTACACGGCGAATGAGAACGACTCAAATTTGAGTTTAGTTCAATCATAATCGCCAAAAGTGCAGGAACTCAGCGATGAGTAAATTTGCCTCATGTTTCCCCAGGCTTTTCCAGGGAAAAATTCCCGAATTTGAGATAAGTAAAGATTGGATTCACTCAGTCTATTGGTAATACTCCGAGACTGAATAAAATTTTCGTCAATTTCCTCATTTTCCGGCAGATTTTTTAGGTTTTCCACAGGAAACCATGAGACAAATTTTACTCATCGCTGAGTTCCTGCACTTTTGGCGATTATGAGTGAACTAAACTCAAATTTGAGTTGTTCTCATTCGCCGTGTAGAGTCAGGAACGGAACACGAACAACCCGTGACGTCACGGATTTCCGTAACTACTTACAACTACCGTTATGCTATGCACATCACCTCGTGTACACAACCAGCCAGCCGTGAGCTTCTTCAAGCACATCCCCTTCTCCTTAATATGCTGGAGAAGAGCACCCTCCTAACAGAAGGTTCTCACCGTTTTGACATTTCCCCTTCAAACCATCCTGCATATAGAACCTTCGTTATATATATGTTCTGACAATTTTCGTGTTAATAGGCTGTGGCCTTTTAAAGTTGGGAAAAGAATAGACTTTTGAGAATTGAACAATAAATTTGGCCATGCAAGTGTGAAACCCGAAGAACCGTAATTGCAACCATCGCATCACCAACGAAACCCCCTCAGGATGTTATTAAATCAATTAAAATGTTTGATCTTGCTGGCGCTAGGTAAGCGAGCGATTTACATCACGTAATTGAATTACATATCGATACGGAAAATCAATTTACATTCTAGCGCTGCTGTCCGCCTCCACCGCCGTGGACAGTTCACGAGTGTTGGAGCTGAGTGATCGCTTCCTGGACGTTCGGAATGACGGCCAGTGGTTCGTAATGTTCTACGCTCCATGGTGCGCCCACTGCAAGAAACTGGAACCGGTGTGGGCTCATGTCGCCCAGGCTCTCTTCAACACCAACATCCGGGTCGGGCGAGTCGATTGCACCCGCTTCACTGCGGTGGCACAGGCCTTCAAAGTCAATGCCTATCCAACGATTTTGTTGTAAGTGTGCATCATAAAGGTACTTGCTAAGTCGTGAACGTTTAACAATGACCTTCGTTTTTCAGTGTCAAAGGTCCCTACGACTTCGCCTACAACGGTGATCGTACCAAGGACGAATTGATTCACTTTGTGAATCGATTGTCCGGACCGCCGGTCCAGCAGGTCACCCGACCGGACAGCATCGACATACTGAAGTCGAACAATCCTATCTTCTTCACCTACGTTGGCAAACAGGACGGGATTCTGTGGGATGTTTTCTACAGTGCAGCGGAAGTATATCAACCGCACAGTTATTTCTACGCTACCTCAGTGGAAATAGCCAAGAAACACTTTGACATCGATACCGTTCCGGCGGCTCTGGTTTACAAGGAACGTAGCCACTACTATTTCCCCTATTCCGATAGCTTTGATCTGGTAGAGCCGGTCCATCTGAACGAATCTCTATTCCGGTGGATCAACGAAGAACGGTTCCCCACTTTTCCGAAGATAACCCGAAGCAACATACACCATGTTCTGCAGACGAAGAAGTACCTCGTGCTGGCGGTAGTCGAGGAGAATAAGCTAAGTGAGATTGCAGCCCATGAGCAGGAGTTCCGCGATATGATGGAGATTTTTGTACACAAGAACAAGCATAAGTACCACAACCGGTTCCAGTTCGGTTGGGTTGGAACGCCGGATTTGGCGCATTCCATCGCCATGGACAAGCTGGCCACGCCCCATCTGATAGTGCTGAATGCCAGCACCAACGAGCATCACATACCGGAGGACGACCCACTGCAACTGACACCGGAAGCGATCGAACTGTTCCTGGATAGCATTCACAATCAGACGGCTCCGGTAAGGTTCGGTCGCCTGCCTTTTTGGAATTTAAGTTCTAAATTTTCGTTTCATTGCAGGCCTTTGGGGGCAACTCCCTGCCGGTACGAATCTACCGTGCGTGGTTCGAGGCGAAGAATTCCCTGCACGACATGTGGATGGGCAATCCGGTACTGACCTCGGTGCTGTTCGGTCTTCCGTTGGGTTTTCTTTCGCTGATTATGTACTCGATCTGCTGTGCGGACATTCTCGATGCCGACGAAGAAGAAGAAGAACCGAGACACGAAAAGAAGGAGTAATTTTTGTGCGGAGAACGAGAAGGCCCCTGGAGTTGTGCGTGGAGGGCAAGTATTATCGTGGTAACATTCCCTGCAGCGTTCTGGGCATTTACCTGATAGTGGGTAAAGTTTTAGAGAACTTAATTTCAGCGGAAAGAACATTATTTCTAGTCATTTTGATCTGTAATGGTAACATGTACTGGTTTATTTTTAAAATTTATAATACAACATATGGGTGTTGTTTTGTGGAATCATGTGTAAACCGTTGTGTGTAGGAAGGAAGTGTACTTTCAGGGCAGGTGTTTTTCCAAAAAAATTGAAAGTGCGCATATTTGTGTCTCACTAGTGTAAGGATTTCGGTACATCTATATAGTGAAACCAGGTTCCATTTTAAACTCTGGCTGGTTTGCGTTGGTAGTGGACGAATATCACTTCCAAATTCCTAGTTAGTTGTTTTAGAAAATTATAACTACCCGAGTGGTGACGCTTCTGGTCATTATCCTGTACCATCATCACGCTCCACCTCGTTTTGTCTAGAAAGGAAAGTGTTTGGACCTTTTTCCAGAGCTTTTTGGACTATGGTACAATGCAGTCTGCAGTTTCCATGAAGTTGGCCGATTTGATGAACCATTTCTAGGAGAAGTACAGGAACATCTAGGACTCTTGGAAGAAAGAGGTGTCGTTCACGCTTAAGCCTGGTGTCAAACAGATTTTTCGTCAAAGGATCATCTCATTGGTCTCTTATTCGGAGTCGGCCGCTTCGATCGTGTTCGTACGCAAACCCAACGGCAGAGTGAGGATTTGTGCAGATTATTTCACTGGACTGAACTACTATGCGCTGGAGCCTAATTACTATCCGGTTGCCCTTGTCTCCAGATATTTTCGCTAAACTGGCCGATAAGCAGATTTTCACACAGATCGATTTGTCAGATGCCTATCTTCAAGTAGATGTCTGTGAGGAATCGAGGAAGCCGGTGCCGGTGGTTTAGTGGTAAGCGTGACTGCTTTTCACCCCAATGGGTCTGGGTTCAATCTCAGCCGAGGTCGGTGGGATTTTTCTGAGGCATAAAAATCTCTGGTCAGAAGGGAAGTAAAGCCGTTGGTCCCGGCTCATGTGTGTTGAATGGGTGGGATATCCTACGCAGGTGTGGAAGCTGCCTTCCTGCAAATTCGATTGCCATCAATGGATGTCCGTCGGTGATTGGCACTAGATTGCGGAACAGAGACCGACGTTAAATAAAGGAAAGAGGAATCGAGGAAGATGCTGGCAATTAACCCGCACAACGATCTTTTCCAGTTCTATCGTTTATCACCGGGAGCCAAGACAGCACCTGGTGGTTTTATTGTCGATATAGATGCAATTCGTCCTGATCATGAAAATGTTCAGCCGATTGTCAACATTCCAGTACCCCACGATGTCCAGACTTTTCGCTCATTCCTTGGAGCGATCAACTACTACGGGCTGTTGTCAAATTGCTCGTATATTGAGTTTTCGTCGCGGTTTTCCAAACTTTATCTGAAGATGATTTGCCAGTTTTGAAAATCGATAAGTTTTTCTTTTTATGGGCGAAAGAAGGTTTTTTTCCAAGTGCATTTATGACCGGTATTCCGATTACAAGTAGAGTCAGATTCGAAAAACAAATTAGAATCCAATTTTGTGTAAGATTAGATTGTGAGACCACCGAAGTTCCGCTTTATTCAACCAGTTTTATCACTATTTGATCCGGGAAACAACCAGCAAAATGGAGTGGCTGTTCGGTAAGAAAATGTCTCCGAACGAGATGGTGCGCAAGAACCAGCGGGCTCTGAATAAAGCGATGCGGGATTTGGATCGGGAGAAGATGTAAATGGAACAGCAGGAAAAGAAGATCATCAACGACATCAAAAAGCTGGCCAAAGAAAATCAGATGGATGCGGTCAAGATTATGGCTAAGGATCTGGTCCGGACGCGACGGACTAAACCTAACCAAGAGCAATGACGAGGAACTGCACTCGGAACTGCATCCCAAACCCCATGATAAACAAGGAGCGGAAGCATCCAACGAAACTTTTAAGCGCAAAAGAATCATTACCAACATAGGAGAAAATTTGGTAAGATCCTTACATTGCATTATTTTATGATTCTTTAATATTGTACAAATATTTACATATTACACAACTACACATAGTAACTCGGAGCGTTTGGTACGGTATGTCCACGCATCCTTCCACCCCTGTAGATTCAAGAAATGTTCCCATTCATTTCCAAGAATCATCTTTGCGGCAAATGCAACGCAGTAGGCCTGGCCGTATTCATGTTTATATCATATATCAGATATGCTGTAAACATCAATTAAGCCTCGAATTAAGCTGGGTTTAGACAGCTTGAACGCGAATTGAACGTGTAAACCATGCCATTCAACTGACTTGATCAACTCACTTGAATTGACAAAAGTTGAACCAGGCTCAACTTTTCAAGTCAATTGAATTCAACTGAGTAGATCATTTGACTTGCCTAGTCTAAACCCAGCATTAGACAAGAAAAATTATTAGACCTCATCTAACCTAATCGTTTTCCAGGATGCTTTCTCGTACTGGCTGCGTTTGTATTAGATTAGATTCCTTGGAGCGATCAACTACTACGGCAGATTTGTGCGGTCCATGCATGAGCTCCGTCACCCATTGGATGATCTACTCAAGAAGGATACTGTATGGAACTTGTGTCCGGCATGTCAAGGGTCGTTTGTGCAATTCAAGAGAATTCTGCAATCAGACTTGCTGCTAATCCACTACACTGAAACAAATCGACATGTACGGTTTATTGGATCCATCTTATAACATAGAAATTTCAGAAGATTTATTCATTCTATGTGATGATTGATAGATTCCATTGGATTATCAGTTAAAAACTACACGGCGATTGAGAACGACCCAAATTTGAGTTTAGTTCACTTATAATTGCCAAAAGTGCAGGAACTCAGCGATGAGTAAATTTGTCTCATGGTTTCCTGTGGAATACCTAAAAAATCTGCCTGAAAATTAGGAAATTGACGAAAATTTTATTCAGTCTCGGAGTAGTACCAATAGACTGAGTGAATCCAATCTTTACTTTTCTCAAATTCGGGAATTTTTCCCTGGAAAATCCTGGGAAAACATGAGACAAATTTTACTCATCGCTGAGTTCCTGCACTTTTGGCGATTATTAGTGAACTAAACTCAAATTTGGGTTGTTCTCATTCGTCGTGTATGACTGCGATGATTTATATCGAAATTTCACATACTTAGTACATGACATTCCCTTGCTTCTGACGTGTTTAGCGATGGTTAAGATATTGTCTGATACCCCGTTAACATTACAGCGTATATCACGTAATATAGGCTGTCTTGCAATGAGCACTCATACACGGGATTTCCAGTGAAAACTAGATGTATGAGTGCTCATTGCACGACAGCGTATATCACGTGATAAACGCTGTAATGTGAACGGGGTATCATATTTTATAGTGAAACCCTGTTGATATGTCATGGGTGGGAACGGACATCTAGAAACTAATGGAAATTCATATAGGTTTGCACTATAAGCAAATCCAGTAGAACAAACCTGTTTTCGTGATGAATATCTCACTAAAAGATATATCTTATATGAAAGTCATGTATATTTTATTGGAGTTGCTTTTAACGATTTTTGACATTTTGTTAATGTTTCGCGTGTAAAAAGACATGTAGAAAGTATTGGACAGTCATTTAAGTTTGCACTATAGGAAAACATGTATATCGCATTGGAATAGCTTCCGACAATTTTTGAAGTTTGTAGATTATTGATAGATCCATGCCAATCATTAGATAGTCATATAGATTTGTCTTTTAAGGAATCCAACAGCAAACATTTGTTTTGGCATGGTTTTTGGGATGACTATCGCTCCCAATAAAATACATATTATATGATTGCAGTGGCGTCGCCCTAACCTCAATCTACCTGTTCAACAACTCTTAAAACGTAAACAAACAAAACAATATTGGTTTTAATGGATACAAATCAACGAAACTAGAAGACCCTATGCCTTTTGAAACTGATTTGAATGTAAAAATGACCCTAAATAACGTTTTCAAAATGGTTGAACAGGTAAAAAGTGAGGTTACGCGACGCCACTGTATGATTGTTCTGCATACATTATTGAAATAATTTTAAACGATGTTATCGTACACTCATTGAACATGATTGTTAGTCGAACTAAATACTGCTTCCAACAATGATACTTATAATTTTTACTTGTTATTGGCCCATAAGATAAGGGCTTCCAGAAGAGAATGTATTGAAATTGAAAAAAAAATCTATTGCAATATTTATTTTGCTAAAATTATAATTGTAAGCCTTCTACATGGCTTATTCAGATTCCCCAGCACTAGTATTGGAACTTCATGAACCAGTTCCATGAACGCATATAATTTGGTCATTGTTTTATTGCACACAGGAGCATTAAGACAGATTAGAACAAAAGACACCACCGAAACGGAATATAAGTTTGTCAGTGCTATATTTCTTCACTCTAGCAAAACGAGCATAACGTTACACTACATTCCATGTTGGAAGAGTTGATGTTACTTCATGCTTATTGAACGAGCTCAATCTCAAAGTCATTCGTGGCCCAGTGGAACCGAGCGCAGACACCGACAGCATCACAACTCTACAGTCCTGGATTGAATCCCAAATCAGCTACTACCTCGTTCACATTACAGCCTCTATCACGTAATATAGGCTAGGCTGTCTTGCAATGAGCACTCCTACATAGGATTTCCAGTGAAAACTAGATGGATGAGTGCTCATTGCAAGAAATCGTATATCACGTGATATACGCTGTAATGTAAACAATAAAATTTAAAAAAAAACGCAACTGTGAAAGCACTCGAAGCACCACATCCCACTGTCTGATGTTTATTTTTCGATTTATTTTTAGAACCGATAAAATATATGTGTCGAAACAAGAAGTAAATATCATGTGATGTTCATATTAATTTTAATTAGATTGATTTATGACATTTTCATGATACTGTGGTGAAATGTAGAGCTTATGCTGATGGGTTTCAAATCCATTTCAGTTAATTCTTATAAGTTGACCAATTTTCATTAATCATATGATGATAATATAAAGTTACCTACATATCAGCATTGGAAATGTATCAGATATTCATATAAAATTTACCTGATAGATTTTCAATCATATCGTTTTCATTGGATTTTCTTATAGCGCAAATTTATTAGACTTCCACATAACAGGAATATGTCATATTGGTTCAGTGTACGATCCTCGCCTATAGAAATGATGCTTCACAGAAAACTAGTTGTTCTACACAGTTTTCCCGAAGTTATGCCATCACAGACAAACAGACGTTACTCTTTGAAC